ACAGTTGGAGTTGGAAAAGGTTTCGTGTAGAAAGAGTGCCGTTATTAAACAAAAGTCCACGCTGCCTGTTTGGGCAGAGAAATAGCCATTACCCTGATGAAACCCTCCCTGTTTAAAGGACAATGTTCCCTAGGGGTCGTCCCGAGGCATAATTAGAAATGGATTCTGTCCCTATTTCAGAATTGCCCTCAGGCTGGAGTACGCGGCTTGGTATGAAACGCCAGCATAACAGGTCTTTGTTTTAAGTAGAGGACTTTGCCGAAGGTTGTAAATTAATCATTGTGGCAAGTGACTGTCGTCTTTTCTACAGTTTAATGAATCAAGAGAGAGCGGGATTTTTCTTTGTTGCATCATTCCGCCGTACTGGCCATTCCTTAAATAAACTGGCAGCATCAGAGTGAAAAAAATCTGCCCCTGTTTGTCACCCGTTGAAATAGATTAAGCATGAGAAAGTCTCATTAATTTTTCAGCTGAAATATTTCCTCGAGAGAAACCGTAATTTGATATTTAGCCTTGTTACTACAACAGGCGTAAAGGTTAGATTATACTGTGGCGGTAATATTTCCTGTTTTCTGGGGTGCTGTTGTATTCAAAATCTTTAAAGAATATTTCGTTTGAAATGTCGACCAGGAACACGAATGTTTTCAATATTTGGTGACATCATACTAGACGGAAATGGGATAAATGTAGGATTTATCGAAACCAGTCACAGGATTAGAAAAGTAAGTGAGGTGCTCATTTTGAGCTGTCGACTGTCAACATAAATAACTGCGAACATTCTTTGTGTCGTTAGTGGGATATGAGAGCATATGTGTACTGAGATGTAAAAGAAAGTATTTTGAGTTTGATTATATTTAATCTGAAATTGCAAGAACGGCTGTTAAATTTGATGTTATTGCTATTTAACTATCACTCGCATAGGCTGAGGGGCTTGCAGGGTAAAACCACTATTTGTCTTGAAATTTTGTTAAATGACTATTGAAACGCTCGTGAAAAAAGCTGTATCCGCCCCTGACTCGTTCGTGAAAGGAAATTTATAGCTGGGTAAAAGTAAACGTACCAATTTTGTTTTTATCTATTTGGAAATTGAAAGAAATGTCATAAAATTTGATAATGACTCTAAACCATCACCAATTCCTGAGACAGTTTGTAAAATGAAATCTGTGGCAGGGAATTTTGTGCAAATATATATTGGTACAATGAAGTCTGAGGGATGAACCAAATGACCCGTACTATGTTTGGGGTGTTCGTTTGAGCCATAGAAAGAGTGAGTGAGTGCATTGGGTATTTACGCCGCTTTTAGCAATATTCCCTCACTACCACGGCTGTGGACACCAGGAATAGGCTTCACACATTGTACCCATGTGGGGAATCGAACCCGGGTCTTCGGCGTGACGAGCAAACGCTTTAACCACTAGGCTACCCCATCGCCCTGCCATAAAAAGAAAATGTATTGTTTTTTCAAAGCTAGGATGTGTGAGATACCCATCGGCAGTTGTGTATTGTGCGACATGTGTTTTCATTTTATTTGCAGATATCATGGATAAAGGGAACGACAAATATTAGTGAATAACTAAATCAATTATTGTACATTTATCTTCAATAACATGTGTTCAGAACATTACATAGAGGAGTAAATTGCAGGTACCATCTCACCAATGCGGACCCGTCCAGACCGTATCATTCTGTGGCGTACCAATCCGGTTTGGACAGGTTCCAGTATTGTGAGAGGGTCCCAGCGTTCGTTGGAATAACCATGCTCTGTTGTGTGTATCACAAAATCAACCTTTGACCTAGGGTAGGGAGACCAATCGTTTCTAGCAGTGCAGTGTGGAGTCTATTCGGATCCCGTGCGCCATGAGTAGATGAGTCGCCGTAATATTGCTGGAATATTGCTAAAAGTGGCGTAAAACTTACTCACTCACTCACTCACTGCTAAGCCAACTTGACACACTCTCTAAGTGTGCACATGGCTAAAGTCATCGGATTTCTGGTGTCCACCGCCATGATGTTGCTGGAATATTGCTTAAAGAGGCGTAAAACCTTACTCACTCACACATTGTTAAACCAACCTGACACAATTACTATGGGTAAAGTTATCAGATGCCCACGGCATGCTGCATGCATAGCTATTATTCTATGCAATATATCAGAACAAGTTACATCTGACACGGTTATCGGTGGTTGTCTCCTGAACTGCACTGAAACGTGGATTTACCAGCTTTCTCTACTGAGATGTCTAGTCGATAGCGACAATACTTTTATCAACACGGACAAATGTTTCTATTTCCACGTTGCTTCACAGACCGCGACTGCGACACCAGTGGTAGTGTTAGAAAATCCTTTATTGACATTACCTCACAGTCTTGGTGCAGACACACAGCGTCGGTAAACTGTGTACAAACATGCTCCTATCACAACACACATTGAGCAGCTTGTAACCTAGACCCTGTTGATAGGTTCCGGTTGCAGTGGTGGGGTAGCCTAGTGGTTAAAGTGTTCGCTCGACACGCCGAAGACCCGTGTTCGATTCCCCACATGGGTACAATGTGTGAAGCTCTTTTCTGGTGTCCACCGCCGTCATATTGTTGGAATATTGCTAAAAACGGCGAAAAAAACTCACGGTCATGGTTAGAATTGATCCTCAGCAACCCATGCTTGTCGCAATAAGAGATCGGTGAATTGCTTGATGCATATCATCGTTACTTGATTACATAGATCGATTCTCATGCTGATAATCACTGGACTGTCTGGTCCAGAATCGATTATTTACAGATCGCCGTCACGAGTACAATGTAGCGTTAAACAGACAAACCGACATTTAAATCCGAAATACGCGTCTTCAGAGTCAATAGGGCTTTGAGTGAGTGAGTTGGGTTTAACGCTGCTTTATGCAATATTCCAGCAATATCACGGCGAGGGACGCCAGAAATGAGCTTCACACATTGTACCTATGTGGGGCGTGACGAGCGAACGCTTTAACCACTAGGCTACCCCACCGCCCCAAGCGGGTTTTGGACTAATGCAGCGAGATTAGACATGGTTTTGTGATAAATCATCCGATTTTTTATCCGACATTCATATGTATCGTTTTTTATGTATCATTATGTCCAACATTTGACAAATCCGACATATCAACTTTTCAAACTTCCGAGTAAGGGGCTTTGATGGTCAGGTGACATTTCGGTGTACCGACATTAGGCAATGTTTCGCTGTACCCGCCATTTAGCTCAATCCGTCGTTTCGCCATATCTGACTTTTCGCTAAATCAGAAATTTCTATATATCCGACATGTCCTGCACTTACTTCCTTACACGGGGTAGCTCTATTTTTTAACTTTACACTTGAAAACTGGATGTGACCATGACATTACAAACGTTTAGAAGGGTTGATCAGGTGAAGAGAGTCTCGGAAACACCACTGTATATCTGTTTGCAGTGCAAACATCACTTTAAACAAAAAGTAAATCAAATATAGTGAAATTAAGATCGCGAATCCTCATCATTTTAAATCTCAGAATTTTTTTCAACTTAGGATAAAAGTTGTTTAACACACGATCATAGATTCAAATCGCTATTATTAGTTTGTATTACAACTTTTATCCTAAGTTGAATAAAATTCTGAGATTTAAATGTTCAATTGGCAAGGAAATGAGGATTCGCAATCTTAATTTCACTTTATTTGACTTACTTTTTTGTTTAAAGTAAAATCCATCGGTACGTTTTCACTGCAAACAGACTATACAGCGGTGTTTCCGAGACTCTCTTCACCTGATCAACCCTTCTAAACTCCAATTAACATAGTCGAATCGCCTGAACCTGGTAACGTGTTAGCGAAAGGCGATAACTCATCGACCAACAATACTGCTTAAAGGTCACATGCAACGTAAAACACAACTTTGCAGATTCTGATACCTTTCGGTATGGACTTACCGGAAAACAAATCGTCAAAATGCAAATTCAACTTATAAAGTTGAAAAATAACGCGATGAAAAAAAACGCGCGAAATCGGAGTTCAAACGTTTCACTAATTTTCCCCGACTTTTCTGGGGAAAACGGGTTTCAATAGCTGGGCTGCGCTCATAGCACGCGCAGTGAAATAGGTTCGCGCAGCTTGGAAGCGGGTTGTCCGGTGAATACTCGGTGAAGGCTTTGGTGTGAGCCATTTTTCTAATGTTTTGTTGATATCCTCACACAGGCGCGAGCTTTTATATGTTATGACAGTAAATTAACTGTTTATATAATTTCACCACACGTTCTTCTTACCAAGTCACTTTCTTAGTCTGATACTTAAAAAGCAGTGTCATTATTTAGCGTTGACAGAATTTCTAACTGTGATATAGATATGTCGTTGTCACAGACAAAACTCAATGTCTTGTTTTATTGACACCTGTGTGTCTGCCTGCCTGTCTGCTAATGACAATATTTAATACACAGCTGCTATCACTGACCACATGCAATTTGAACTTAACACCAATCAGGCTATACACCATAAACAAAATGCATTGATTTATGGCCCGAGTTCGGTCTCTGTCACATTATGTAATTACACAGACAGGCAGGTGTGATAGTTGAACACTTGACATGTTATGATGTCTGTTGATTGCAAAATGTTATACACAAAAAATTGAGCATGTATTTACAAACCCAACATCTCTACATATACACACACAATAAGCCGTGAGGGCATACGCAAATGAACCAGCCGTTACACTTGAGTGCACACCCACCCGCTCCTGACTGGGTTCGGTATCCCGGCTGCTTCGTTTCTTGGGAAGTAAAACCGAAGTACACAATATTGCACTTTTGATTTGCGATTGTACGCTAATCAACCCTTCTAAACTCCAATTAACATAGTCGAATCGCCTGAACCTGGTAACGTGTTAGCGAAAGGCGATAACTCATCGACCAACAATACTGCTTAAGCTGTCAACATATTAAAAAATACAGTGTAAATCTTGCAGTCTGTAATATATGCCCTTCTGATATTATTTTTTGCAGATACGCGACAGAGCGCAGCTATGAGGAAGTCCACACCGTACGTAGACCTGAAAAAGTTTTGTTGAAGACGAGCGAAATGCCAAGTGCGCATGTTTTTTCGTCGTGAGCATTTCAAATGGACTACAACTGCGGAGAAACTTGGTGCCGTCCCTCGTAACGAAAGATTGCTCCTCTTCACGCCTGTCAATGTGGGACTAACGAGCGAACTGGAAACGTCACAGGGCCTTGCCCACGGGAAAGTCGTCACAGCTAGGTGTTTGCAAATTTGAAGAATTATGCTAACTGCACAATAATCCATCTTATCAAGATGGCCACATGATGTCTAGGCCGAGCTGAGTCAAAGGGATAAACGCTGTGTCCAGTGCCGATGTACCTCATATCCTTCCCTCGCTCACCTTGGCATCACATCCCTCCCACACAGAACGCAGTGAGAATGCGCTTCTCGGTCAAGGCGGTTGCGAAGAAGATCGCCATATGCTTCGCACTTCTTTATTGCTTTTCCTGTCTGCGAGTGTTTCTTCCTCTGCCCATTCAGCCGATGGGGGTCGTGCATTTGGCGCAGCTCGCCGTGCACTGGCAAAGGTTTCCGGTAGAAGGAGCAGACGACACATTGTTAAACAATATAACTGTGCCCGTGTCTGTGAACGTTGATGCTGTGTCCCAACATCTCGATCGGACGTGGGCGAGAACTATGTATTCAGATACAGATAATATTGAAAAGCAATTTCAACCGTCCATGACGACTGAACAACGTCTAAAAATGCATGTGACACTAGAAACATTTCTTCAGGCTTGTGAATGGGCAAACCTGACGTACTTTCTGATAGGTGGGTCGCTGCTAGGCATGTACCGTCACCATGGAGTCATTCCGTGGGATGATGATACTGACATTGCAATGAATGCATCAGAATGGAGAAAAATCCGCCATGTTTTATCACGTGTCCCAGGATATGAACTATATGCCCCCAGCAACGTTCAGTGGAAGTTTTACATGAAAAGCCTTGCACCTATTGAAAATAAACCTTTCAGATGGCCGAATGTGGATATTTTTTTCTACACAGAAGATTCCACCTATATATGGGGATTAACAGCGGATATTAAAGGAGAATTTTTTGTTAAAAAAACAGATTTGTTTCCACTCCAATACCGTCCATTTGAGAACAGAAGAGCAGCAGTCCCTTGCAACACGCGGGATATCCTCATCCGTAGGTATGGTGACCTTGACCTTTGCGTTTCTCTGGCCTACGGACATAAGACGAGCACCAGTGTGACGGACGTAAAGAAACGTCCCTGTAAGGAGCTCCATAGTTCGTATCCCTTTGTATTCAGGAGCCCCGGCAGCCATGGAGGTATCGTGGAGACGTTGAAAGTTGGGCCTCACGTGGTTAAGAATGTTACGCTTCCTGATTTTTGTAGTTCAACGTTCCTAGGATGAAACTGAAGATCTCATTATCAATTATTCAAAATTCCTGCCATGGTTCCGTTTCCAGGGTAACTGGTACAGATGGAGCAGATCAATGTGTAATCACATCTGGTGCACACAGTGAGAGTGTGAGAATGTCCTAATTAACGCTTCGTCAAATTGAAACTCTCGTTTGCTGTTTGTCAAGGAGATGGGTTTCTTTGAAGAGATACCAATTCAAGGTTATGCGCTCGTTCTAATTAATAATGTGCCTTTGAACAAATGTATATCTCGCCATGCGTGGTGGGGTTAGTTTAACACATTAACAACTGAATATCATGTTCGACTGTTAACCACATCGCCTGTGCATGTGTGATTGGTGGACTTAACGCTTCCTCAAATTCAAACATTCAAAAGCTATTTGTCAAAGTGTGGAGTTTCTCTGGAGAGATCAGCCAATTCAAGAATATGTGTTCTTCCGAATCAATAATGTGCCTTTGAACAAGTGTATGTCTCGGCGTAACCCTGTTTGTGGAATGGTGTGTCCCGGTGAGCAGCGATTTGAACCGTTCCGGGCTTCAGCTCTTGTCACTGCTGCAGTGCAAAGTCAAGACAATGTAACATTGTGAAATGAAAGAAGGAATTGCTGCTGTGTCATGTTTGACTGTTAAACTCTATCTATTGTGCATACGTGATCGTAGATTTAATCAAGGGAACAACAGAGTATCGTTTCGACTCTTGAACTCTGAATAGGTGGTCGGCGGACCCAATCATGAGAAGGTTGACTGTCATTTCGACTGTTGAACTCCATCGCTTGCGCAAATGTGTTGGATTGATTTTATAACGGGAACAACTGAAAATCATTATACTGTTAAACGCTTGTGCATATGTGATGGGTGTGTGGACTTATGTGGACAGTTGAATAATACGTTGTTCGCAACGCTGTGCATACCGACGTCACAGTGTTGACGAGTGAGTGAGTGTAGGTAAAGTGAATCCCCACACAACACTACCTCTCATTGTTGAGCAGGGTTAGTTACTTGAATGTATCCATGGGGAAAACGTGTGAATTGGACTCATTTTCTATGCTTATATCACTGCCACGATCTGAACTATTGTGCTGTACATTCCTGTGTTATATCCTGAATGCCAAATTCAAAACAGACGTGTTTGTTGACAAAAATATTCATGCATGGGGAAAGGTCTAACTTTTGGGGAACGTTATGGGAATATCTGAAGCATATAGGCACCGCATCGATTTCAAGAACTCGCAAAAAGTAGAGCTTGCTTGATGATCGTATATTCCTATTTTGGGGCGTGCAATTCAGTGTATTTCTCGTGCAGCACTATCCAGTTCGTGATAAATTCATTTGTTACGCTTCTTTTCACAACGTTCAACTATTCTCGCAGTGTTGGAGCTTATGATCCCAGTTTCTTAAAGGTATTTCTGGAACGGCTGAACTACGAGCTTCCATTATGAGAAGGACGATATTAAGTCGCGTCACCCTGAGTTGCAAGTCGCAATTCAGTGTACATAGTTTTGTTCCTTTAACCGCGGGTTCGAATCTCGGTTTTTTATATATTGTTAGATGGTATTTGAGGATTATATCTTAACCCACGAGTTTCACCAAGTGGTAAACGTCAGCGTTACTGGAATACTGCTCAAAGTGGTGATAAACCCAACTCACCCTCTCAATTCCAGCATAACCCAAATTGAGCAACTGTACATCAACTTGGGGTGATCAGATGACCGCGGTGCGTTTCAAATGAATCACATATAGAGTGATAAGTGACTCAACGAAGCGGATCATCGTTCAGTCCAACTTCGACATATCCTATTGTTTATGTGATAGCAAGATGAACTTATCATGCGGATTTATATCATGCCTAATGTTAGTATGTATTTTCTGTTTCATCAGTGACGTGGTGTGGACAGTTTTTGACATTCTACCATTTCCATTATGTGTTGTACAACTCACTCACTCAGCAATATTCCGGGTGGCAGTCTGTATAGTTTCTTGACCAGACATTCCAGTGATTAACATCATAAGCATCGGGCCACGCAATAGGGATTTGATGAAATGTATCATTTACGTCAGCGGATCTAACATCGTTGGTCGCCTCTAATTACAAGCAAGTTCTTTGAGAGGCATTTTAGAAGTTGTGAAGATGAAGGAAAACCAAGTTCTATGGATAGTCAACTTCTTTATTGCAATGAGTGCAACGTTTCGGTGTAGGTACTAACATTGTTATCAAGCAAGTGATACAACAATTTGAAACAAGGAGAATATATATTCGGTGATGACGATGTTAGTACCTACACCGAAACGTCGCACTCATTGCAAAAAAGAAGTTGACTATCCATAGAACTTAGTGTTCCTTAATTACAAGCAGTTATATAACCTGGCTCTTCTTTCATTCAAAGGCTACGATTAGATGTACATGTCTTCAATCCAGAGTATGCCATTGTATTTTGTTTTCACACTCAGAGTTTTTTTAGATTTTATACGTGCCATTATGTTCAGTTTACATATCGTAAACGCAACTAGTGACGTCACAGGTTCATGTGTACACATATTACCTGCTTTGAGATGAATCGTTCTCTACCCAATGTAACGAAAGTGTCAACACGAAACGCAACTAGTGACGTCACAGGTTCATGTGTACACACATTACCTGCTCAGTGATGTATCGATCTCCACCATTGTAACATAATTTCAATACTTAACGATTGTTTCTGTCTGTACTGTCGCTGTACCACTTGTAATATGTCACTCTTTTCGTGATCTATCAAGTATTCACTTGATACCCGATGCCTCAACACCGGAAGAGATAATGTATATAATATTTTTATAATACGAAATCAGATAAGGATAATGACAGTTCATTATAGTCTTGAAATGTAGAATCATCCTAATCAGGACCTTATACATTTGACGTGTGCAGCTGGAAATTCCTCCACCGCCACATGTTCATGTAGTGTTTGGTCGTTCTGAAAGCCGTTAGGTATCATGCTGAATGGACCTTATGTTTCGTCAGCATTCTTTTGGATTCACGAACAGTATGAAATCTCCATGTTCTCACAGACTATGCAATTTCGTGGTTTTGTGATCTCAACTGACCGATAATACCATGCATTCTATGTTCCCGACATGTTCGTCCTGCTCATCCTTTCGAACAGAAACATCACGTGCCTTGATGCAGCTGATGGAAATATACAGGTGCAATAGAAAGTTCAATAGAACTTTATTAAGTCTGATTGTCTATTTAACAACCACTCATTCCTGAAAGGTAATAACTTGCCTTGTCATTTTATAATATATATATGATTCAACGACGACTGGGGGAAGACTGCGGGGAGGTACATACACAAGAAGTGGGTTGGGGCCATCAAACATTATGCCAAGCATTCGGGGAAGGTCGATATTTCCAGTATATTAGAGCAGTAAATAAACCACTCACTCACTCACCCACGTGTCTAATTAATAACCCATTCCTCACTGAAGTAATGACTGGGTAATCGGGGACAGCTTTAAACCCATTTATCCTATTTTTGTGATATATTTTGCACGTGTACATATATACTCACGTGACAAGCTTTAATGAAAGGAAGAGGAAAGATATTGTATACGTTTTGTTTGAAAAGGTATTAAAGTTCTTTAGTCCGTTTTGTTTTGTATTTATCTGTCTTAAGGGGCGACGGGAAGCCATGTAGTTCTTGTGAAGGCCCGGTTTGGATGCTCCATTTGGGGATAATTTGTGATGCCAAGACAATCTAGTCATCAACAGCAACTGGGATACGATGACATATGTCAACCAAGTCGGCGAGTCTGACCACCCGATCCCGTTAGTCGCCTCTTACAAGCACGGTTGCTGAATTTCAATTCTAACCTGGATCTTCACGGGTTGTAGTTCATGACGTCTGGGCCAGATAATGCATTGACAATCAATGGAAAAGCCTTGCTCAAAGACTCTACTGAATGGTTAGTCCAAGAAAATGCTTTCCTTATTATCGTTAAGTCGAACTGAGCCACTCGTCTAATATAGAAGCATCAGGTTTATACAAAAAGCTAGCCTAACATCTAAAATTTTATAAAAAGGGGCCGAGAAACCGTTTTCATTTACCTGAATCTATGGTAATCTAGATTTACCACTAGACTTCCATGGGCTGTATTGAGTATATTTGTTTCCGGGTCTGTATGGCGTACAACACTAGCAAAGTAGTATCAATGTCGAGGCCATGTTGACCTGCGAATAGCGATGTTTCTAAGGCCTGTGAACAGTGAAACTAATACTTTTGAATTTATATACTGCAAACAGTTGTATTCCACGCAATAATTCCAGGCATAAAATCTATGTGTGCCATCTGATCAGCGGGCGTAAAGCATGTAATTTGGAGACTTTAAATGTTGATGATAATATCCATTCCTACCATCCGAATAAAGTACAGGATTTACTTTAAGTGCCAGTTACGTCCAAAATGATCCAGTACAATGGCAATTTATCATATGCGGGTTGGGTGAGTTAGTACGGAAGCGCTGAAGGGACATGAGTAGGAGAATTTTATTTTTTTTATATCGTGCACACGATATACTAAAATGTGCGCATGATATAACAAAGTGTGCGCACGAAGTAACAAAGTGTGTGCACGATATAACATAGCGTGCGCACGAAATGAAGAGAGACAGGATTTTAAAGAATGATATATCGTGCGCACGAGATATAAATTGTGCGCACGATGTAATATAGTGTGCGCACGAAATACTTTGACGTGCGCACAAAAGATGTGACATCTTTGTGGGAAAGTTTATCATATCGTGCGTACAAAATGTATCACCGCTAAAACGTTATTATAAGCTTGATGCCTCGTGTGGTGTCCATGCCGTTTGAAAAGGCACGAATATAAAGTACCTGCTGTACGACATGATTTTCAAGTTGAGGAATGGAGAACTATTGCCATAATGAGTTATAAAGGTCGGCAAGCTGCTAACTACTTCCCAATCTACCTGACACCTGTAGCAGTCGTAGAAGCAATGTTTGGTGGACATGTCTGTGATCTAACCAAAGCGTTTCTTCCACCTCCAGACCGAAAAACCATCGAAACGGCCTTGGAATACTTCTCATCAGGTGGCACTTATGAGCTACTGGAGGTGTTTGATAATCTGAAATGTAGAACATTTATTTCCAAAGAAAATGTTATCAACATTGTACTAGAGATTGCTCACAAAGAGCTGATACAGAAGCCAGAGTATATCATTGACTGCCGGACGCACATTCTTCGGGACCTGAGATCTGTAAAGAGTCCGCAAGACCTTAACAAGGTCTGATCTTTTACCAACCCCAGAAAAGTTGCCCAAATCCTTGTTCTTCCAGATGAGATATCAGACACTGAAAGGGAAACAATGTCTCATCTCAGGCGTTTTGTTCGAGACAGGAATTCTGATCAAGTCGAGAGTTTTCTCAGATACTGTACATGATCACACCTTATGCTGCAGCCGCCGGACGCTATTCCATTATGTTTCTTGAGCTGACTGGGACAGCAAGGCGTCCAGTTGCACGTACATGTGGCCGCATCCTCGAACTTCTCTCCCGTTACGAGAGCTACACGTTCTTCAGATCAGAGTTTAAAAACGTTCTCACGAGTGGTGTTTGGGTGACGGACATAGCATAGGACGAGTTTCTGGTCTCTGGTTTCTGATGTGTGGTAGACACACTACAACGTGTTCCATGTTCTGTTGATATGTTTCTTATTACGTTTGGTTACATTGGAAATGACAGCCCTTGTAAGTTTACATACGTTAGGCGCCGAGTATGTCGTCCTTTGTACTTTTAGGTTGTGCTCCTGCTATGGTAGATACCGCCATTACACCGAGTACTGATGTTACAGATTGATAGCCTGTCATAATCTGCATGTTAGACTTTCTCACAAGATCAGTTTCATTTGTGTTAATCGATGCGTTGATTTTGTGACAAGGAAATTTGTTATTTTAACTTTGGGTTACAGAAAAAGAAATAAAGTCTGAAATATCTGTGGGGCGGATGACTTATGGTGTAACGAGATATTCTTGTCGCCATTGTTATCATTAGCCAAATCTAACATTATGACGTCGATAAATCAAATGACGAGAGGCTGTTACCACGAGATAGTGTATGTGCCAGTTGTGTCAGTCATGACTAGGACTTGCATGGAACCTAAACTCTGCAAGTCATTATATACTGAGGCAAAATCACGTGAAAGCACAAGTGTTTCTTTATTTTTTTCCAGGTTTCTTCACAAACCGTGTATCGCACAGCTTGTGAAGAAATCAGGAATAAAATAAAAAGAACGCCTGTGCTTTCATGTGATCCCTTATATTTCCCTCACTATACTATAACACCTTTAGCCAAGGTACTTTACTCCACTTGAACCACCATGGTAATATGCATGACTGAAAGTTTCGACCTGGCACATTTTGGGTTTCAGTTCAGGTTTGACAAAAATATGAAACTATTGAAATACTCAAAGATTGTATTTCTATTCTTTTGGAAATCAGACTGACACCAAGAGTGTCTTGAACAATGCGTACTGAATAGTAGGTTTCGACACATTACATTACATGTGCAAATCCTGTCTCAAGGCCTCTCTCAGAATTGTGTACAACGTTGCTGCTGTATATGGATCGTCCTGAAGTTCCAAGCCACGTTCATGCATGTATATCCTCGGCATCTTGTATACGTCACCATCACATGGAACTTGCTCATTAAAAGTGCAGACATCTAGGCAGACATCTAAACGTTCAGGTTCCACCTCACATATATAATCTCTCGTGAAATAGATTTCGGGAAGGGAGTACAGTATGTCTGGCCTTCCTCTAACACCATTCCTGGAAGAACGTATGCGATGCGCGTTCCATACTCTCCGGACTTCCGTCAAAGATACTCAATTTCCAAGGTTTTATCGTGTATAGGATGAATATCATATCACATATATTTACTTTCAGGATATGAAGAAAGCAGAACTGGATCAAACGTTTGTCCAGCATGTCTCCTGTGTAATGCCCGTCTCTTCAAACAGGTTCATCCAAAACTGTATGTTCTGTCTTCTCAGAATGCCCCACCAACACTAAATTCTTTGATTATGCTGGCTTGCTCCAAAGTAGTAGCTCACGTGACGATCACCTGTAGTTTC